GATTCAACGTCCGCACCAGCGTAAACCAACCTGGAAGTTCGTTATAAGATGTATCCCATTCGCCATGAATTTTGACAATGGCATTTTGTTTTGCCAACCAAGTTTTTTTATAGGAGACAGTGTACCCATACTGCGATTGTATAGCTGAAATCAACACTACAATAGCTATATGAGAGCTTGCTTTTACCATGGCATGATGGCTTGGCATATCATTTCAGAGTCCAAGTTGGGATGATCTTGGTTGACCCCTCCAGCACAAAATGTGTGAGGACCGTTGTATATTGTCAGTTCCCATATGTTGTTTTTCCTCTTCATTTTTTGATACGCAAACCACCAATTGCATCCGTTTTCGCGTCGGGCACAGTAGCATACATATTTTTCAGTCGTCGATCGGTTGACTCTGGACTGAATAGAATTACGAATATTGTAATTTTTGATAGCCATCATCGCTTCTTCTTTTCTTGAAAACTCCATGCCTAAAGATAACTCACCATTATTTATTGATGAGTAATATCCATAGTCACCTAGATGAGGCATATCCGCAAATTCTGGCCCGTACATTACACCATAATCAGCTTCATACATGTGTGCAGGAGAGTCAGTTTGTGTCACATTTCCTGGAACTTCATCTACATCATCATCATCGGAGTTGAATTGCGGTGATTTTGGGTGAATGAATTGTCCGGTCTCAGCACCATCCGCACCAGGCTCACGAAGCGGTTCTTCTGGTGGAGATGATGGTTCCTCCATGCGCTCCACATTTAGGTCGAAGAACCTACTACTTGCATGTCTTCCCCTTGAACTAGAAGACATATCGACATTGAGATCGAAAAAACTCACAGTCGAATGCCTCCCCATGGAGCTTGAAGCCATCGTGTCAAATGGAAACTGCACAGATTGTTGCGTCGATGACATCTCCATATTAAGGTCAAAGAAATTTGCAGATGAATGGCTTCCCTTTGAACTGGACGCGGTGTTGCCATACGGATTGTTCGTGGACCCACCTCGATACATATCGTAAGGAGTTGCGGATGAATGTCTCCCCATTATGGCATTAAAATCATTACACATTACTGTAGTCAGGCTGTCAACTTGATCAACTTGTTCAGTCAGCCCATAGTGGGAGCTTAATGATTGACCCCGAACAATACGCACTTGAACAAAATGTGCATACATCGTAATAGCGGCGTCTGAATAATTACTTTGAGCTTCAACCATCATTTGAACATCATCATTGTTCGAAAGTTCGAACGCTGTATAAGTTAATGGCAACAATGATGTTGGAAATCTGTACTGCAACGACGACATTCTTCTACTACTTCCAACATGAATCTTCCTTGAAATCTTCGTTATCAACTCCTCAAGAGTTATGTTTCTCTTGAATGATATTTTAACACACTCATTTGATACGAAAACAACGGCGGTTTCATCTTCTCGAATTTCATCATCATAATAAACAATAGCTGAAAGTCGCGTCATTCTTTGAGTTTAAAAATGCGGCAATATTATATCTGCAAAAAAAATAACTAAAACAAACCTGATTAAATAAATTATATATGAACGAAAATATAACACAATAAATTTTTTACACATCAACGTAAATAATTTAAACAATATAATTTTATATTATTACCTGCACTGTAAAACTATTTAGACGTATGCTTCCGCTTTTCAATTTTACAAACATAAAAATTAATTGAAAATAATTAGTATAATATTTTTTTCAAATAATGATAATAAACAATAAGTATAATTAAAAAATTATAACAAAATTACCTTATAACGAAAAATCGCACGAACTTCTAAATCAAATATGAGAAGATTGCCAGAATTATTACTCGTTGACAGAATTGTTGTATTAATTTATAAGTTGAGAGGAGAGATGCGAGGAGATGTGAGAAATTTAACCGGCGGAGGAGTGTATTTATAACCATATAAGGTGCGGTACCTGCACCGCGCTATATGTAATTATTTAGATAAAAGATATAGCGCAGACCAGGGACCGCGTTAAATATAATTCACCCCTACGTGGCGTATAGCGCGCCCCTGATCCGCGCTATACCCCTACGTGGCGTATAGCGCGGATCAGGGGGCGCGCTATACCCACGTGTAATCCATGTCAGCGTATAGCGCGGTGCAGGGGGCGCGCTATACCCCACGTGGCGCCAAATCAACATATAGTGCGGTTCAGGGGGCGCGCTTTACTGCTACGGGTGTTAGATCGGGAAATATAATATGACCGGTGTTAGATCAGTAAATATACCGATCACCGATAATTTTTCGGGAAATACACCTTCAATTTCACCCAACAAAGTATTATAATATTTTTCACAATATATTAATTATAAAATCTTATAAAAGTGAATTAATAAATATAAGAATAATTATAAACTTAAAATACAGGTTAAACATATAAAATTTAATTAAGACCATCCATCTTAAAATTAATAATTTAACCATGCATACACGTTGAACCCTACTTTTTTTACTTTTAAAAAATGGTAAATTACAAATTTGATAACTAAATATACTCGTATATTCCACTCATTGTACTTTAGATCTTTTTAATTTTCTCATCGGACTCGATACATTGAGTTTTTTTTTGTCACTCATTCGTTTTCTCACTAATGAAATTATGACATGGTTTTTTTTTGTTATTAACAAAGGAATGACCAAAAAATCTCATGTATAAAGTTAAGTGATTGAATTGAAAATAATTAAAAGTATAGTGAGTGAAATAAGAGACATAGTTAAGTTTAGTGATTAAATTTGTAATTTACAGATTAAAAATTGGTAAATTACAAATTCGGTTACTTAACTTTACTCTTTCTCTCCTATTTCACTCAGTGTACTTTAAATCTTTTCAATTTCCTCACTTAACCAAATGTGTTGGGTTTTTTTGTCACTCAGCTGTTTTCTTACTAATGTCGTTATAAATGGACTTTTATATAGATGCAAAAAGCTGTCGTTTTGGTAAAAAATTTGTTTTTTTAAATGACATCGTTTTATCGCCTTTAACTATTTAACGACGAAGTAACAACAAAAAACTCTGTATTAAGTTTTGTGAGGAAATTGAAAACTTTTAAAGTTTAATGATCAAAATAAGAGAGAGAGAGAGTTTGTGTGTAAAATTTAGTGATAAAATTTGTAATTTACCCTAAAAATAAAATAAAAAAAGCCATGTCATAACATTGTTAGTGAGGAAACAACTGACCAAAAATAATGAGAAAATTGCAAAGATTTAAAGTACAATGAATGGAATAAGAGAGAGAGTAAAGTTTAATTACCAAATTTTTAATTTACCCTTTAAAAAATAAATTTCCAACATACTTGAAGGGATCTAACTCTCAACTAAAAACATATAATGATAAATATGATTAAATTCTAAAAATAAATATTATTAAATTAAAGAACATAAATTAAACTTGTAACTATATATAATATAGAAATAATAATATTTAATTCAATAAATTTAATAATTAATTTTAACTTTAAATTAAAATACTAAATGTGTTAAAATTAAAATGAATGAAATAAAATGAGTAGATTAAATATATAAACACTTGCAATAATTCCATTTATATATGCATACAATAAGTAGACTAGGTGGTTCATGGAGAGATTGTATTTGCATGTATGTAATGTTATTTCATTCGTGCATTTTAAAGAATAAAGAGTATTGAATTTTTTTATTAATTTGGAGGGAATATAAATCCGTATTTGTTAGGAAGATTTTGGGCCTCTGGTGTCATCTGGAATTTGAAGATATTTGGCTGCACTCTGCACCATGTCCGCATGCAAACTTCATATAAAATGTTCCCTAGATATTTATTGTAATGCCAATCAAGCGTTTACCAGCTGAAATGTTTTTGGGTTTTTAGTGAATTAACAGGCGGTGTTTTTGCCCTATTCCTATTTTGGTATAACCAAACAATATATATATGTATATATATATATATAAATTTCTTATTTCTTGGAAATGAAACTACTACCTTTTCCTTTTTAGGCTGAAATGAAACTATTACATTACTTTTATTGTCCAATATACCTTTTACGTTTAGCCCTTCTTGCTGTATGAGTTAGTGGTTGTTGATTGTTATGGGGAAGCTGAGTACGAGAAAGGAGGGCAACAACAACACTATTACTCGAAATGCATAGGCTGAATGTATAGGGAGGGAAAAGTAGTCAATGAGTCTCCCCTGTTATGACAGAAACATAGACAACAAGAAAGGGAGCACATGAACAAACAAATGAAAACTTGTCCTGCTACCATTATGTAACTCTGTTAGATTACAAGTCGTAATTGTAGATAGATATGTACGATATATAATGTTATTTTAAAGTATGACATACTCTTACGTAAGAAATTATGTTACAAACAAACAAATGAAACTTGTCCTGCTACCATATGTAACTCTGTTAGATTACAAGTCGTAATTGTAGATATGTACGATATATAATGTTATTTTAAAGTATGACATACTCTTACGTAAGAAATTATGTTACATACATGTATCATATGTATTGAAGTGTTATTGAAATAAAAATGTAGATATCATAAGTTGTATTATAATTTGATGAGGGATATATTTATAAATACTTATAATTTGATTTAATATTCAGTTTATATGATGTTAGGTATGATTTTGAAAGATAAAATAGTTTAATGGCAAAAATATAACCTCGAGAATAGATGAGTGATTACATTCGTAGCTTATCCAAAATATATATCAGGGGCGGATGCAATAAGCCCCCTAAGGGTCAAGTGCATCCCATTATTTAGGGAAAAAAATGAAATTTAGTATAATATATAATAGAAAAATGGAACAAATAAAATTTTTTGCACCCCCATTATTTTTAAGAAAATAAAATTAAAATTTTAGACCATCATTTATAAATTTCTTGTTCACTCAAAGTCCTATTATGGACTCAGCGACGCCGTTTAAGATGACGATTCCTAGGGTTTTTCTCTTAAAAGAACAGAAACTAAAGCCCTCTCTATAAAGCCAAACTTACAAACCCTAAGCAAACTCCTGACTAGAAGGCGAGATCCAATATGGACAAGAACATGTTAGCAGGGCTCGAGGGTCTCCCTGAAGAAGATAAGAACCGAATGTCCGCCATGGTCGACCATCTTCAGCTTCGTGACAGGTGTTTATCACTCTTTTTCCGCCCATACATTTCCCATTTTACCCTCACCGAATTTGCTTGTTAACTCCCCTATTCGATTCCTAGATTTTGATGATTAATGGAGTGTTAGAAAACTGGTTAAATTTGCTCGGGGTATTCAAATTTTGGGGTTCTTTTAATTATAATGTTTAGAATCGTCAGCTTCTCAGATTGTAGAAAGTGCAGGGTTTTGCGGCTCTGTGTATGATGAGAAGCTAAAGATATATTCTCCTTAAAACCAGTGCAGCCTTTTTATGTTGCCTCTGGACGTTTTGGGAATTACATTTCTACAATATGAATTATGATTCTCTTTTTAGTGATGCTTTAGCTAGTATTTTTGCCTGCATTTGCTTCCGTTGAACGATGTATGATCTGTTTATGAATTGTCTTTCTTTTTAGGTTTGGATATTGTGTACACAAATGTGTACAATCGAATGAAAAACAAAATTTTATGTGTGCAATTGAAACAAAACCAAAGTTTCACGTGTAGAATTGCATAAAAGCTCATGTATCACATCGCATATTTGACCAAAGTTCATGTGTAGTTTTAATATTTATCCCGGATTTTATTTCTGTTGCTTTTCCTGATGATGCTTATAGTGTCACAATAGTTTTTTCTGTTTATAATGCCTGCCTGGGATTTTGGGGATAACTGATGGTTAGGGCATTGTTATTTGCGGAGACTTATTTGCATTATTACCCAAAGGCAAATCCCTCTTTTGCTGGAGTCGAGAGGTTTTGTGCAATGGCCATATTTCCCGTGTTCAATCTTCTCCATGGTTTTCTATATGTAGTGCTTAAAGAGCCTTTTCCAATTCGCCAACTAAAAAAGATTTGTATCTGGTTCGATTGCATGGTGGTTTTGAACTCAATTGCTCTAATTAATCATTTTCTATACTTGATGTACAGTTTAAGAATGTACAATTCACTTGTGGAGAGATGCTTCAATGACTGCGTGGACAACTTCACCCGCAAGACTTTGCAGAAGCAGGAGGAGAACTGTGTCACACGATGTGCTGAGAAGTTCTTGAAGCACTCGATGCGTGTAGGACTGAGGTTTGCTGAGCTGAACTCCCAGGCTGCAACACAAGATTAGAATCTAATAAGCAACCTTGAAAATGCTTCTGCTTTATCGCATGGAATTTTCTTGTTGGGATAAAATGGGTTCTTCCTCAGATGAAAGACAATACGTTGCCAGGGTTGACGATTGTTGTTGATCATAGGACTTGTTAATGTTGATTTCCTCATAAGAAATTGAATAGATTATAGTTATGCGAGATGGTTCATCACCCATGATAGTTGATGATATGGTGAAATACCTTGATACTTTTTTTTTCTGGATTTATGTAAACATGTTGATTTTATTTGGAGCAAATAAACCATGCAGAGATAAATGCCCAATTCTTGGTTTGAGATTCGTCCCAGTGATTTTCAAGAATAGATTTTGACCACTAAAACTATGCAATTTCTCCATAAAGATGAGAGATTATTTGATTAATCATTCTCCATAAAGATAAAAGCCCAATTCTATGTTGTTATATAAACACATCACTTTGATTGATGGGTGCTGTAAAAATGGTGACATGGGTCGGGTAAAATTGCTGTTTGCCAAAGGGTTAATATAATATATAAGGTAAAATGATAAAAAAAAAACCGTTTAGTGTTAAGTGTTATGTTTATATTTTTTATTTTTTAAAAATAAAATGTTATTTAAAAGTGTCTTTTTTTTAAAAAGAAAATTAAAACGACATGTGTTACTTAATAAATTTTTTAACGGTAAGAACTTAAAAATATAACAGAAAAAACATTAAAAACCTATTTTTAACGAAAAATTTTTAGACACTAAAAATCAATTTAAACACCTAAAAATATATTAAACCTCGAAAATGGAGGAGCTTGGTTTGGTTCCTAATGAGTATACATACTCGGTTTTCATCAATGGGTTGTTTAAAAAGGGACTAAGAAAGATGGGTTAGAGCTGTAGGATAAGATGCAGCGTAAAGGGGATATTCCTAGTTTATAATGCTTACATGTCTGTGATGAAATAATACTGCAACGACTGAAAACGTAGACAGCTTTAGTAGGGATCCTTGTGCTCCTGTTGCTATTTTCTCCGATTTCTTCCTTGGTTGGACTAAGAGTCTCGCTTCAGAGTTAGGCGTGCCACGGATCGTCTTCTCAACTTCCGGTGAGACTAATACTTTGAGATGATTTTGAAATTAATTAAACTAGGATATTTATAGTTAAAACTTAAAGAATAATTTATAAATACTCTAAATTACAATGATTAAAAATAATTTTACCAATTTTAAAAAATTCGACAAATATCATGTGCAATTAATTGTGTTCACTTTTCGGTGCATTGTTTAATCTACCTTTTGATGGATTTGTTTGGTTTTCAACACTGATGGCGTGGCCGGACTCACGCCAAGAGAATTCCGTCATCTACGTGTGCTTTGGGAGTCGCCAGGTGCTGACACGTAAGCAAGCGGATGAGCTGGCGGCGGGGCTCGAGAAAGCGGGGTCCACTTCGTTTGGTGCGTCAGGGATGATGGGGTGATCCCGGAGGGATTCGATGATCGTGTGGCAGGGAAAGGGCTCTTGATAAAAGGCGCCGCAAGTGGCGATTCTCCAACACCGAGCCGTTGGGGCGTTTTTGGCACATTGTGGGTGGAATTCGACACTGGAAGGGATCACGGATGCGGATCAGTTTACGATACAAAGTTATCGGTTAATCAACTGGGGGTGGGAATACGAGTGGGTGAGTCGAGTCAAAATATACCGGAGTGCAGCACATTGGCTCGAGTGCTTGTTGAGTCAGTAGATGGCAGCAGAGCAGAGGGGGCTCGAGTGAAGCAGCCCTGAATGCAATAAAAGGTGGTAGCTCAGACAAGGATTTGGATTCGTTGGTTAAAGCTGTAAATGAAGTTAAACTGAAAACCAAAAGCAATACCTTTTATTTTCCACGATGTATAATGATGGAATATGAAATCAATCAAGTAAATTATCTGCATTAAGCAATACATTTGTTGAGTCTTTTGACAATTAAAAGTTATAAAATAGTCACCCGCTTATTCATTATATTTTAAACTCATCATTTTCTGTTAAAAATTGACGATATTCTGAACTGAACGTTAACCTATTGACTGTGATATGATAAAATTTAATCATAGAATCTCAAACGACTATCATATCTTAGTCATCATGTTAAATTCCAGCTTAAGCAATCGTAAATTATTTAACGAAAAAGAATGAGATTGTAACATAATGAATATTCGAATGACTATTTTATAACTTTTAGTAATTGAAGGATTTAATAAAATAATATTCTATAGTTAGAGGATTTTTTTTTAATTTTTAGTTATCAAGGGACTTAATAGAAGCAATACCATGTATATAGTCAAAAATACTATATATATAATGGCATTTTAGTAATTAAAGTAAAGTGTGCTCTGCAGTTCGCCCACAGATTCGGTTGGCACTATAAGGAAACATGGGCGACAGCCCACAGTTGATTTCGCAGAGTCTTATATTACAGTGAGCTTTTTCAGCTTTGGGTTTCTTGTTTCTCTCTGAATTCTCGTTTTCATCATTTAAAAACACACACATAACTTCATGGCTCGGAAATTCTTCGTCGGCGGCAACTGGAAATGCGTATGTTTGCTCTTCTCCTCTGTTTTATAATAGGTTTTCATTTCTAAGTCAATTTTTTTGATCTATTGTTTTAGATCTCGTATTATCTTCAGCATCGCATGAAACAATGTTTTATTTTAATAGTGGACATTAGAAAACGTTGTTACATCTCGTTTTATCTTTATACTAAGACGTAGCAGATCGGTAATTTAAATAACTCCCTTAGGTTTTGAGGTCGGATTCATAGGTTTGTTTTGATTATTAGGTGTTTTATATGTATAAATTATATTTACTTTGAAAAGGGGCAATAATTTTGTTTCAGAATGGGACAACTGAGGAGGTTAAGAAGATTGTTACTACATTGAATGAAGCTGAGGTTCCCTCCCATGATGTTGTGGGTTAGTGTTTGTTTTCCTTGTTTAGGTCCAAAATTTTTCCACTTTTTTAACTATTGAAACATTTAAAATTTAATTTGAATGTGGCAGAGGTTGTTGTGAGCCCTCCATTTGTGTTCCTTACCCTTGTCAAAGGTCTGTTGCGGTCTGATTTTCATGTCGCTGCTCAGAACTGCTGGGTTCGCAAAGGCGGTGCTTTCACCGGAGAAGTTAGGTATGTACTTTTATCTGTTGTCATCTGCTTTGTAGATCATTTTTTATGGCAGGTTATATGTAACATTGTTGTTCAGTAGGTTCTAGATTCTTATATCGTTTTAACTTCATTTTCTCTTTGAGCAGCGCGGAGATGCTTGTTAATTTGGGGATTCCATGGGTTATTATTGGTCACTCTGAGAGAAGGGCTCTCTTGAATGAGTCCAACGAGGTGAGTAATATGTTTAGGTTCTCATTATTTCGTAACCTACCTAGTGAACTTCCTGCTTTGTTTATTGTCTCTTGGGTGAATGAAATAGTTATTACTTATTAGTATTGATTCTTAGTATTTTTTTCATGCCCCTTGGTCTATTCTGAATGTTTGTCTCTGCAGTTTGTTGGAGATAAGGTGGCATATGCACTTTCACAAGGCTTGAAAGTAATTGCTTGTATTGGAGAGACTCTCGAACAGCGAGAATCAGGCTCTACCATGGCTGTAGTTGCTGCACAAACCAAAGCAATAGCTGGTACTTGCTTTTAGAATATAAAATCAGTAATATTTTTCGAAGACATGGTACCATTGGTCTAATTGCCCCTTGGTAAAAGTTTATGATTGTGGTCTATGTGGGTATTAATTTAACCACAACACGGTGCATTACACTTTTTCATTTCTTTGTATGGATATTTAATTTTTAACTGTTGTTGCTCATTTGCAGATAAAATAACAAATTGGGACAATGTTGTTTTGGCTTATGAACCTGTTTGGGCCATTGGTACTGGGAAGGTTGCAACCCCTGCTCAGGCTCAGGAAGTAAGTTTGAGTTTTATGCACATATCATTTTAAACGATCCTTTACTTTTGCATATCATCAGTTTTAATATCTTGGTCTTCTCATAAATGCCGAGTGCTATTATATAACTGTTTTAGGGCAATCTATCAAGCTTTTGTTTGCATCTAAGCCATTGCTTCTTAGTTTGTTTCTATGAGAAATCATACCCTATTTTATCTTACATATCGATGTGTGATTGTGTGTTCCAGGTTCACTGCGAATTGAGGAAGTGGCTTAATGAAAATGTTGGCGCTGATGTTGCTGCATCAACTAGAATTATATATGGAGGTATTTTTCTTTAGTCCCCGAAGTATTGATCTTATTCAAGTGCTTAAGGAAATTTAGCATAGGCTATGCTAGCATGTAAACATGTTATTACTTTAAAAATCTGGAAACTATAAGCTCCATCCTAACCTGTAAAGAGTAACTTTTCTTGGTACTCCATTAACTTTCAATTCTCGGGTTAAACCCCACCATCTGATTTTGCATTGATTGCAAATTAATGTAGGTTCCGTAAACGGAGCAAACTGCCAGGAACTGGCTGGACAGGCGGATGTGGATGGCTTTTTAGTTGGTGGAGCTTCTCTGAAGGTTAGTAGCGTTCTTTCTTGCTTTGCTTGTGCCTTTATTTGATGCCTTTTCTTCAACTTGTGCAGTGTCATGCTTAACTTGTACTTTTTGTGTTTTTATTTTCCTCCATCAGCCCGAGTTTGTGGATATCATCAAGTCCGCAACTGTGAAAAAGAATTGAAGTTCACAGCCTGGAATCATAGCTTGAAAGCATAAACAAAATTCTGGGGAGAACTTTTAGTTTTGTTGTTGTGGCCCTTTTTCTTAGAACCTGATATCAGACCAAATTTGACATGGTTTTTGTTGGTTTGAGACATGGATCCTCATGTTGGACTTTCAGTGGATTCGTTTTTTTGTGGTTCGTGTGTTTTCTACGAGTATTTCATATTGTCTGATCATGTTTTGGCATCGAATTGGGCTGCCCTAACTTAGTCGAACCTTAAAAATACTTGGCAATTGAAACCCTATAACTGATTCAGCTCACCTTTTTTTTTTATCGAGTTTCGATTACTACATTGATTTCTCTGAAAAATCTCGATGGATGAAAATTTTATAAATTAATAATTTTAGTTAAATCATACTAATTCTTTTCCAGTCTTGATTTGGGTTAATATCATAAAATAATAACCTCGCTAAATGCATAAAATAATCATATTTAGAAAAATCCTTAAAGACCAATGAAAATATAAAAAAATTTCAATATCTTAAAATTTTTATATATAATACATAAAACTATGGTGTTTTAAAGACAAATCTTTTTTTAAAATTATTCTTTACTAAAATATTAATCGTTAGTTAACTGTTCCTTTATTAATGGTACGACGGGTTCGTATTATCCTTCTCTCAATCATATTTTTAATGGCATTAATGATTTAGACTAATGTATAACATCAATATTAACATGAGAATTAAAGTAAAGAAACTAGATTCTTAAATTAAATATAATACAAGGATTACAAGCACAATTTGACCGAACATTACACATAACTTTAGGGATTAAGTAGTTGTGAAACCTTTCCCTTCTAGCTAATAGTTGGTGATCTAGCTTTTCTAAATACCTACTTTTTCAAAGTTAACTTTAAAGTAGTTTTGTCAATAAAATAGCCTTTTGTTTTATTTCAATTCAATGATCATTGTAAATTTGAAATACTAAATGATATTCTTTAACAAATTCAAAGATTGAAAAACATGGGTCAATTTTACTTCTCGCTCCTCAGGAAATTAAGTTACTCATATTATATTTTATTCTTATTTTAATCAAATATATTTATGCTTTTAAAATATTATAATTTTATATATCTTTTTAAAAACACCTTACGCTATTTATATTATAATAAAACATTTAATAATAAATATTTAAATATTTCATGTTATTTCTATATTTTATTAAAATGTTTAATAAGATATTTAAAATATTATCTTTTATATTAAGATAAATTACGCGTTTAGTATATAAATTATCAATTTTGATATGTTTTGGTACATAAATTTTCAATTTAACGTTTAATTTTTGTTTCATCTTAGTAATCATGCAATTAAAAATTTAATGTGTCTAGTACCTAAACTATAAATTTTAGTCCGTTTTAGTACCTAAACTTAAAAAAACATTCAAAATCTAACGTTAAACTTTTAAAGAGTATTGAAATGAAATAAAAACTAAATGTTATGTATGATTTTGAAAAAAATAAAAATTTAAATATTAAAATATACCAATACTAATAGTATAGGTACTAAACACATAGTATACCTTTTATATTATTATGGTGTATAAGTTTACCTTATTAATAAAAGTCATATCTAAATTGGAGATTTAATTGATACTAACTTAATTTAGGTTTAATTAAAGGTATAATGTCAAAAAATATATCTAACATGTGATTAAATAGTTATTTTAATCAAATTTTAAAATATTTTGATTTTACAAATAGTGAACGGGGATTGATCAGAACAGGAAGTTCCCTTGGGAGTTCATCCATGCCATGAAAATACAAAAATGAACCCTTTACTTAAAAAAGGTTTGCCATTTGTCCTTCAATTATCCATGCGATTACGGATTATCCATTAAAAGCCCCATTTTTAAATTCGGGATCAAAAAAGTTTGTCTTTATTAGTTTATGAAGTAGCCAGCTATGAAGCCTTAGTTAAGCCAACGACTCAGATATAAGATGGCCATGCTGTGCAAGCAAGGGGCTAACGATCTCTGACTTGACTGACCCCCTATACGGAGAGAGAGAAGCATAACACGCTACGCTTAGAAAGCGGGATCAGTCCGCCATTAATGCAATTCATCTCACCCTCCTTCAAACTTCTTTTTTTTTTTATCTCTTTGATCTGCAATCATTATCACTATCTGCTTACTAGTTGCCGCCTGCCGGTTGCTTCTACCAACTACTGTACAAGAAAAATTCAAGCTTTTTGCTATGAACTGGTAAATTTCTCTCTCTCAAATCCCATTTTCCCTTGCTTTCTATTTGGTTTACAGAGAAAAGATTTGTTTTTGGGTGATTTAGTTTCTTGGGTATTCTTTTGTTTCAAGTGTTTCCTTTTTCTGTTTGAACTTCTAAGTAAGAAAAAAGATGATTTTGTTCTAAAAAGGGATGGTTTTGGGAAGCTTTGTTTATGAAACGTAGATCTCCTATTCTTTGTTGAATTCTGGATCAAAGGGTCATTTTTTGTATGTGTTTCACTTTCTGCAGAAGAAGAGTTGAAGATGGTGGCTTGTTTTCGGGTATTTGATACAATGGGGATTTGCTTTAGTGCCAGAATTAAAGCCGAGAGCCTGATAACACAGGTAGTTGAATTTTTCTAAAGCTACCATTTTGTTTTCTCTTTATTGAGCATCATACTAATATATCTGCTGTTTTCCATGGACTCATTTGCTTATTTAAACATTTTAGTAATATAGAGCTTTCAGAACAATCAACAGATCTCAATTAGCAAATCCATGATTGAAACAGGGCTGACTTCAAAGTATGATAGCGGTGAAGGGAAAGATTTGAGCAGTGAAAGCAGCGGCAGCAAAGTTTCATCATTCTCGGCACCTTTGACACCTCGGAGTGAAGGCGATATTTTACAGTCCCCCAATTTGAAAAGTTTCAGCTTTGCTGATCTCCGAATGGCCACAAGGAATTTCCGCCCCGACAGCGTGCTTGGAGAAGGCGGTTTCGGCTCCGTGTTTAAGGGTTGGATAGATGAAAACTCCTCCGCCGCTACCAAGCCTGGAACTGGCATCATTATTGCTGTCAAAAGGCTTAAGCAGGATGGGTTCCAAGGTCACAGGGAGTGGCTGGTGGGTCCATGTTCAGCGTCGTTTTTATATGCAGAGCATTCGAGTTGTTTGCATTTCTTAATGTGTTTTGTGTTTTAATTTGCTTGCTTAAGATGTTTATCTGTGAAGCTTATTGGTTTATTTTTATCATTTTGGCCTTATGTTTCGAGATCCAAGTGCATAGATTTACTTGTGTTCATTGTCGATCTTATAGGCTGAAGTGAATTACCTGGGACAATTTTATCACCCCAATCTTGTGAAATTGATTGGATATTGCTTGGAGGATGAACACCGCCTTTTGGTGTATGAATTCATGCCTCGTGGCAGCTTGGAAAATCATCTATTCAGGAGTAAGTTCTTCCGGTCTATCGCTTGGTGTCATTGAACGAAACTCTGTTTTAAGTGTCATTTTATTTAATTATAACACTGAATTACCTGTACCAGGAGGTTCTTATTTCCAGCCTCTTTCTTGGACCCTCCGCTTGAAGGTTGCTCTCGGTGCCGCAAAAGGGCTTGCCTTCCTTCACAGCACGGAGACGAAAGTCATATATCGAGACTTCAAGACTTCCAACATCTTGCTTGATTCGGTATGTGATTTGTTAAGCCAGCATTATTTCCAATTACATGACTATTTCATCACATGTGTATTAACCATTTCATTCTGATGCCATTACAGAACTACAATGCAAAGCTTTCGGATTTCGGATTGGCCAAAGATGGGCCAACAGGTGATAAGAGCCATGTTTCTACAAGGGTCATGGGGACCTATGGATATGCTGCTCCGGAATATCTTGCCACAGGTACTTAATAACAGTTAAACCGAGGATACGTTATCTTCCGCTCTTGTAAACAAAGAATCATTATGTTATTTTTCTCCAACTGTGTAGGTCATCTGTCTGCCATGAGTGATGTCTATAGTTTCGGAGTTGTGCTTCTTGAGATGTTATCCAGCAGAAGAGCAATCGACAAGAATCGACCGTCTGGAGAACAAAAACTGGTGGAATGGGCCAAACCTTACCTTGCCAACAAACGCAAAGTATTCCGTGTACTGGATAATCGCCTTGAAGGCCAGTTCTCAATGGAAGGAGCCTTTAAGGCTGCTGCCCTTGCTTTGCGATGCCTTTCCATCGATCCTAAGTTCAGACCGAACATGAATGAGGTTGTAACAACATTGCAGCTGCTAATGGAATCTAATGATTCCGACGGTAATCAGAACAAGACTAACGGCATGCCTCGGAGACGTAGGCAAAGCACAGATGATGCTAATGGTGGAAGGAGTAAGACTGCATACCCTCGTCCATCGGCTTCGCCACTTTATGCCTGATAACGGAATCAAGACCCGGAATGAAAGCTGCTGACCACCTGAGTATACTCATAATCGGTTGGTCGTCTTGGGCGTTCACTTTTACTATATTTTTGCCTAGTGATTGTACAGTTAGTGAATTAGCTAAATGTACTCGAAAGTCAAAACACGAATCTTGACGACAAAATTGCAGGCTGTTACACAGATCAAGTGGAATGTATATGCAATTATATGTTACTTGACGACAAATCCCTTTGCAACCGACCACTTGTGTTGTTAGCCGCTTTTCTCGAAAACAAAGTCAATAGTTTGTGTGTAGGACTTTGTCCATTCGTAGGTCAAAATTCGATGCAGAAAGCAAGTCGTTTCCAGGTTCCACAGCAGAGGGATGGCTTTTATTAAATATTTAAGGCTAAATTACATGAATGGTCACTAATATTTAAATAAATTTTTTCTCTCGTTAATACTTTAAAAGTAATGATTTTATCATGAACATTATTAATTCATAATAAATTAATCGCTCATTGTTAATAATAGATAACAAAATGTTGATGTGGCGTGTTAAATCAATTAACTTGACATTGTTCACAATTATGTTGACAAACCATTCGACTCATCTTCATTTTAAAACAATGTCCAATAAATCCTATTTTACTATAGTATTTTATGCTTCTGCTTCAACTAGACTACCTCTTAAACAAGAAGAGAATATCAAAATGAGAAAATAGTCGTCACTTGATCCGTCAAGAGTGAGGTTCTGTGATGGATCTAGTAGGAGGCGGTTGAGACGGTCGCTCTCTTAAAAGTTTTATTCTTTTTGTGCATATAAAAAAAACAAATAGTGCATGTCCACATGCAGCATGCTTATTATCAGCTTCCAGACTCATTAAGCACTTTGATGCTTCACTTTCCGTTTCAGCACAATGTATAATTTGTTCAGCCACATGACATTAATGGCATTGGCACAGTCACTTACCATCTCTATTGGGGGAAAAAAAACAAAGAATATTTTCAATCACCTATCTGTTACGTACTAGAGCAGAGTATACACTAATCGTATTATTACACTTCACATCATTTGCATCAACCAGAAAGTATTAAATTACTCATACATTACATAGGCTTCGTAAACAAAGCACTAACATAACAGAACATGATAGCGCTGCTCAAATGATTATAAAACTTCAAATACATAAATGAAGCATTCTAATACAATTGAACTCGTATAAAAATGGTTAAACAGACGGAATGAGCTTCAGAAAGTCCAACGAGATAGTCAAGACATAAATCAAATAAAATAAGACCATTAAAAAAATAACTAAAAACGTCAAATAAAGTTCGACAACTCTTACATTTTTCTTACAATTGTCCAAGACGCTTTCTCATGTTTTGAAATCGTTGAGTTATTTTTTCCTTATCGATGCTATTAAAAATGATTAAAAATGAATGAAATTATCTTAGACTATGAACAAAAACAATGAACTTATTAACATATCTTGGACAATAACAACAAATATATCAAAATTTAAAATCAACCCAATATCTTTAACAATTCTAAAAATTAAAAATACAAACTCATTAACGATATCAAATAATAATTTTAAAAAAATATCTTGAGAAGACCTATGATCGTTTGGAATGGGATTATATTGAGGATACCTTATTGGCTATTAGATTACCTCGAAAGATTATTTCTCATATTATGATGTGTGTCAGATCAGTCACTACCAAGGTAATTTGGAATCGGGAAGTTACACTCTTTTCGCCCTACGAGGGGGCATTCGATAAGGAGATCCTTTGTCACCTTATTTATTTGTTTTGTGTACGGAAAGACTCTCCCAAACTATTCAGAACAAGATTGGTGCGGGTGTTTGGAAGCAGATTCGCTTTTCTAGAACTGACCGAGCCTTTCCCACCTTTTTTTTGCGGATGACTTAGTTTTGTTTGCAGAAGTTTCTCTTGATCAGGTCAATACTGTTAAGAAAGTGCTTAATGGTTATTGTACGAATTCTGGCAATCAGATTAGTGTATTAAAGACAAATTTTTTTCTCGAAGAATGTTACCTCCAAAGGCGAACTGGTGTTGTAAATAGTTTCGGGTTTGGAGAGGTAAAGGACTTGGGTAGGTACCTTGGTGTTCTATTACTTCATGGTAGAACTGCCAATGTTACTTATCATTATCTACTCGATAGATTGAATCAACGTCTTTCCGATTGGGCTGCGAAAACTCGCTCTTTAGCTGGTCGAATAACGTCTTTCCTAAAGGCTTATGCGAGGAGATGGAAAGGATAATTCGAAGGTTTGTCTGGGGTTCCAATAATGGAAACGTGAGAATCTCACTTGTTAAAAGGGAAACGATACAACAGACCAAGGAGAATGGTGGCTTGGGGATGCGGAACCTTCATACTCAAAATTGTGCTTTTTTTAATGAAAGTGACATTCCAGTTGATTTCAAGGCCTGATAGACTGTCGGTACAAACCATCTGCGCAAAGTACAAGTGGGAAGAACCTTTTCCACTCACGATCCAGCGTAAGAGCGCTTCTAGATTATGGAGAGGATTACACCTTATTTGGCATGATTTTACAGAAAGTATATCGTGGAATGTTCGTGACGGGACAAACACTAATTTTTGGTATAATCACTGGTTGGAAAATGAAAACGGCTAATGTTCTCCTATATTGGGTCGGACTCTCTAAACCCTTTTCCAGTAAGTGAGATGACCCTTCCCTCTGGGTTTTGGAATCGGGCGATACTCTCAGAGTCTTGTCGGAACACATACTACAACGTATTGCTACTGTCCGGCCTCCCCAAGCTCAATTGGGATCGGATGTATCTGCTTGGAGATGGGAGCTTGTACGCAATTTCACTTCCAAGTCTGCTTATGGGTATTTAGCTCATCATGATGGGGTAGTAAACCAAAAGCGGTGGACTTTGGTTTGGAGTTTGGAAGTACCGCAAAGTGTTAAGGTTTTCATTTGGCTTGTCTTGCATGATCGCTTGCTCACAAATTCGGAACGTTTGAGGCGTCACTTAACTACCATGGAGGAGTGCATGATTTTCCAAATAGGAGCTAAAAACTTGGACCATGTTCTGCGACACTGTAGATTGGCAAAAACAGTCTGGCCTAAGGCTGTGAAAGCCAACAGGTTGGAAACGTTCCTCTCAATTCCAATTGATGTTTGGTTCGAGCAGAACCTTAGCTGCAAAGGTATGTTTGCTTATAACAATTTCAAATGACAATATCGTTCCTCTCAATTCCAATTGATGCTGGCAACTATGGAAATATCGTTGCAAGGTGATTTTCAATCCTAACTACATTGAAAGGGAAGATTTCATCATTAGATGTGACTGGCTGGTGGAGGAAACAATCCGGGGTACAGAATCAGATAAGAATGTTGTTTCCGCTGTGAGGAATTCCCCCAGGGTGTGGTTACGACCATTGTTTGGTTGGATCAAGGCGAACTCGGATAGTGTTATTCAAACAAACGATAATATGGCGGCAGCAAGTGGTCTTTTGCACAGCTTTGACGAAGGTTGGATTTTTGGATTTTCCCGGAGCTTGGGTCGATGCTCAGTCCTTGTTGCTGAGCTCTAGGTTGTTCATGATATTCTTCTTTATGCATGGGAACTTGGTTACCATAAGATGGAATTGGAAACAGACAATCTTGAATAAATTGTCTGATGCTATTAGAGGGAACTCCTAAGTTGAAGCCTTGCATAAGTTAATCGAACCGGTCTACACAAGTGTGACACATTCGACGCGAACAGAATGGTGTTGCCAATTACTTGGCAACCCTTAGCCGTGGTGCACCGATCGGAACTATGGCCTCACCGCAGGAATTATCTTCGGTACTGCATAAAGCCATGACATATAGGATTTTAGCTAGATCCTAATTTCCAGTATTAGGAAAAAAATGAATACTATTAATATTTTAGTAGATAACATTTCGGCGATTTGAAGAGACAGTTTTAAATGAATTTAAACATGGGGACAATAGATAATAGTGATAAGACACAAACCAAATATATATTATAATTCAATTCAACTAAAAATACATAGAAGTTGTCACAGTACACTCCCCGAATCCCTTGAACACTTGATAGGCTGCGGGCTACATTTTTGTGCAGCCGCCTCAGTCCTTCCTTCCAAACCACATCACAAAAAACAATACAAAACAAAACCCACCATTTCAGATCCTGAACCAAAGGAAACAAAAAAACAGCCCCAATCCAATTGGTTAAAACGGAACTCCGCCCCTAAAACACCGTTATGTTATGGTGGGAAACTTCCTTTTTAAAAGAAAAGGTTATATTACGGAGTTCATAATTGCTACTGCCTTTTGTTTTGTTTTTCTTTGTGGTTCTTATGTTGTGTTCAGACCCTGAAATTCTTGCCAGTGAATGTTTGACCGAACTGCCAATTGGCGGGAACGATGTTCCAAGAGGTGGAAGTGCGCCTGTCACTGCCTGTCACCCTGAAAGACAGCGTCTGTCCCACTAGCCCCGCGTTTGACTGCCAGTTCTGACCCCAGTTCCGGCTCATGCTCATCCATCCGGTCTTAGATCCTTTCACGCCAAATGTTAGCATGAAACATGGAGCGTGATTGTTGGCCTGGAACAACAATACAAGGAATTATGGTTCCAAATACTAGTCTTTAAGAACATTGGGGACTGTGAAATCCTGTCTCTCGGCTTTTGTTTTTCCTTTTTTTTTTTACAATGAGGCCACTACAGAGTGGTTAGCTACTAGCAGTTATTGTTTTCTCGTGATTAAAAATACTTCTCACTTCAAATGGGAGTTCCCGGAAGATCATCATCTTAACTCTTAAGTCGGCCTTTGGGGTTGCGTGTATTCATGCATAAATAGAATGGTTCAACTTTAGCGCTAGTCCTATACAATGGTAAAACTTGAATTTCATCCCTATATCAACCACAGATAACAGATTATGTTGCTTTGATAGCTAGAGAATAAAAATCCTTTCGAAGCTCGGTTAACTTTTAAGATTGGGTTTGAGAGTAAATGAGGAAAAATAGAAAGGGCATTTTGGTAAAACTAGAAAGACCAAAGCTAGTAATAAGCAATAGCTCATCTGCTCTGACACAGACTTCACGAGAGCTTGCATCAGAAAAAAGTAGGACCCAACATCTAATCTAAAACAGAGATTAACGAAAAAGCAAATGAGTTCTCATGCATTAATTAAACGATTTTGCGTAAAACAAAAAAATTAGCATAATGCGAGTGAGTTTACATAAGAAACAGAGCACACATACCGGCGGTAAGAAACGGGGACAATGCCGGCACGGTACTCGGCAATCTTGAGGAACATGGGCATGGCGAGGTCAAAGTGAGGGCGAGGAGGGTTGCACCATCCGCCATTGTCGCTCGGGAGGGCATAGTTAGGCGGGCAAAAGTTGGTGGCGGTGATGAAGATGGAAGGACTCCCTGAATGGCACCACTTGGGGATCACTAGCACATTTGATCTCGAAGCAAGCACCGCAGCTCAACCCATTGTTGAACAATGCGGTGCTCAATGCTGCCGTGTTAACCCCATACCCTTGGCTGTACAGGTTCCCATACCCACAAGCTCCTCCTGCAACAATACAAAAAGGGAAAAGATTATAAGAAAAAGTAGAAGCTTTTGAGGAAAAAATGTGGGTACGTACCCATGGTACCAGAAGCATCAGAACCGCCGTAGAAGGTAGCATGTGCATTTTGCCATCCAGCACCGGAGTAAACTCCTGGAATTCTAGCTTCACCCGTCGTCCACATTGAACAAATAAACATCAAAATACAGAATAAACTCACCATCTTCATTTTCCCACCCTCTAATTACTCCAACGCTATGGCTAGAAGTCTAAAAACTCAGCTCTGTTCTTTTAACAGTAGAGAAGGGGTGTGATGGTTGGGGTGTGAATGGATGGAGAGGGGTGACCGGGGTACTTAAAGGGGAGACTGTATCTCTTGAAGGAGGGGTTGAGGCCCCTTTATTACGCAAAAAATCAAACAGATCTTCATTAACGTTGCTTTTTGTTTGAAACTATTTTATCTTTTCTCAATTTGTATTAAAATATTAAAGAATATAGGCTTAAATACCCATATGACCTTTGTACTTGTCACTTTTTTCTAATTTGGTATCTAAATTTTTCTCTCAATTTTATACATGTAATTTTATTCCTTCAACGTATCTAGCTTAATGATAATGTTAAAGATGGATCCTATTTTGCCAACACAACGGGAAGGAGACTTTTTTTTTCTCATTATGCATTATCTAGAATCATGCATTTTTCGACAACCCTAGTAATCTCAGCTATCTATTTTAAACTAATCGACGATGCTAGTGACCGATATCAACTTAATGAAAGTAATGAATATGTATAGACAAGTTGGGAAAGAAGAAATTAGATATCAATTTGAGAGAAAATAACGAAGAGTGGATCATATAGATATTAAGCCAAGAAGAATATTAAAGTAAATCTTTTAAAAAAACAATATATTTTGTAGTCTTACCAATCGTCTGCTTTATTATATTCTTTGTATGATTCTATTATATGAAATAAATAAATAAATAAATAACCTATAATTTACACAAATTCGTCCTCCACCTATAAATTAGGTTGAACCTTATAAGGATAAGTTTTGGCTCAATGGCCCTACATCATCTACTTTCCATCATACTTGTTTATGGAAGAGGTGGGTTTGGTTTTGGGACGACTAAATTCGAGTTATAAAATTCTCAAATTATTTAAATTGAGAAATTTAACTTATTTTAATTTGTAATTATGATTTTAAATTTAATTTAGTGTAAATTCATGTTTGATAAGATTTAAATATTAAAATTTATGAGAAATTAGAGATTGAAGTAATATATATATGAGTAAACAAATCCTCTGTATGCCTAACTGTTTTAAAAGGGAAAGTCAGCGGCTGTGATTTCATGAGTAGAAATGGGATATAAGATGGATCAGAGGTTAAACAGTAAACACTTAAACGCACTAACCAAGCATCCCCAAGAAGGGAAGCTAATTTAAAGCTGTGGCAAGTAGAAGACACTTGCAAGCATCTAACGTGGGGATAGGGACCCACTTAATCCCGTAGTCATCGGCTCATCTAACCCCCCTCCCCCGGGGGTCTTTAACTAGTGTCATAGGCACATACACCTAATAAATTAAAGGTTGAATAGTGTCATTAGTCCCTAATAAATGCAAAATATATGAATTTATTCTCTATATTATTAATGGATTTTAGATTTAATTTAATTCTTATATTTTTAAAATTTTGAAATTCATATCTTCACCAAGACAATGCATGCACAAATTATGAAAGAAGCTATTACCAAAATTTGATTCGATAGACTTAACAATTACTGCTTAATTCAATATCAAATTTTGAAAATTTGAGAGCACAAATGAAAATATTAGATTCTAGGGATTAATTCATTATTTTCACATAATACATGAGCTAATAAAAGAATTTAAGCTAAATGAAAGGACACGTATAAGAAATAATAATTAAAAAAAACTTGAAAATTTATAAAATGCAATTTCCAAGCAACATTTATTGCTTAACTCCAAGTTGTGTCAATTAGTGCACTTTATCTGGTTTCAAATGCACGAAAATACCTTTAAATGTTACTTTTTAGAGGGGAAAGAAACCCAAAAGTCGGATTCCTACAAGAATAAGAAGTTGGGCATAATTTGTCTTATATTTTTCTTGTACGTGAAAATTTGACAACGGTCACATTCACAGAATAATTGGGCCGTGGAGGGTTATCACTTATCTATAAGTCGGCTTTACCTTAATGTTTTGATAAGATTAAGGTAATGTTTTTTGACCATGCAACTCTAGATTAAGGTATGATTAGTGACAAAGTTGTGAATAAACTTACTAAGATGATAGGTTATGACTTGGACATATAGTAAAAGGTTCTCTACATGGATCGTGACGAGGAGAAATTATATTATAACCTCTTTATATATCTCGGCAAGGACAGACGTAGGATTCTATAATTGAGGGTGAATTTAAACTTTTAAAATTTCAAGGAACGAAAATAAATTTTCAATAGAAAATACATAGAAAAAATTTAAAATATATAGTAATTTTAAAATTTTAGGGAGACGATTTTCCCTAAACCATAATATAGACCTAACTAATAAAAAAAGTGCACATTATTAATTTTTTATATACGATCTTTTACAAGATGATATCTATTTAGAATATCTTTTAAAAATATTTTTTAATTATTAATAATATACACCTTACAAATTTATTTATTTAAATTTATTTCTTTATAAAATATACATTGTTGAGGTCTATAATAAGGAGAAAACTGAAAGAGAAATTTCAACAAACAAATTAAGATTGCAGTAGAAAAATAAAAGTACGAAATGACAATGGGGGGCAAGATTGCATGAAAACAAACGGATGCATGAATTAACTTGAGGGAGAGATTCGTGATTTCACATTACGACAGACTACATCCAATCTGTTTTAGAAATTATTCCTCCTATCTTTTCTTTTTGGCTAATGATATTGTATGCCCTCCAATTTTCTAAAATTTATTTTAGTTTTCCTTTTTTTTTACTCTCAAACCTGTATTTTTAATTAAATTAATTGTTATAAAAAATAACATAATTTAATCATTTGTATTATTTTAAAACACACACACACATATATTATATATGTAGTTTGAAATATTTCTATTTGTCATTAGCTATCTACAGAATTTTTACATTTATATATGTATATGCTTTGAAAATTGAAACCCTTTCTCCTCTTGTTATTATCTCTAATCTAAGATGCTATTAACTTGTTAATAATTACTTTTTTTTTAAATTTTTAGATTTTCTAAGTATATATTTTATTTTGATGATTGGGGGGAAATACTTGTCCTTGTGAGTCTGAATAATTATTAAATTGTTTATGTTTTCCTTCAAGATTTGGTTATTCTTGCTGTCAAACCAAGGAATCTAATCATAATTGGACATGCACAATCTTCAATTTCAAGCTTGTTTGTTTATGCTTTGATAATCCAGGCTAGCAACTTTGTCTAAATATTTAAAATTAATTTCTCAAATGTGAACTTTATTAGCTAAATAATAAATGTGGGATTTTGAAGAAGCCAACAGCCACTTTGTTGAGAAGGAAAAATTTAAGTTTTAGGTCATCTGGACCCAAAATGTTCACTAACATGATTTAAGATATTACATAGATTATTAAAAAAATATAATAACTATTTTTCTTTATCCTTTAGCTTAATTCTCAATTTAGCTATTATCTTTATTTTTCTCAATTTCTCTTTTATACTATATATATATTGTGTTCGATTTATGATTTTTTCTTCTAGAATACTAAAACATTAACATTTACGCATCTATTTATATGCTACTACTCCATTAAATAAAAAATATATTTAGTAACTAAAACATGCCACTTTAGCTGGCTTTGATTTTTCTTGGTTATGAATGTATTTTTTTTCTCATTCTCATTCCACAGCTACCCATCTTTATCAAATGAACCACAATTACATGGTGGGTGCCTCATTTAGATATGAAGATTTAAGATATATAGCCTCGGCTGCTGAAAATAAGGGGTGCCCTTGGTCTTGGGTTAGTAGTGCAATTGCCATTCCCTCCCTTTTGGTGCATTAATTGTTACCTCCCTTATTAAATGTAGATAACGACAACTCAAAATCCCTAATGATATATTTCAATTAAGTTCTTATATATAGTTTTATGATTAAATAATTTTTAGGATTGAGAAGACATCTCAACTAAATCATTATTTAAAAAATAAATTAGAATTAAAAAGATATTTTAATTAAATTCTTATTTTAAAAATATAGGATAACTGAACTTTCAATTTTTCTAATTATAATGTTGAACTTTAATTTTACATTCAATTACGATACTCTATTGTTAAGTCACTAACGAGACAATGATATGACTAACAATTGTTGATGTGATCTGCCACGCTAAAAGAATAATGGTACGTTTGTTCTGATGCTTGAAACAACATTGTTTTAAACACTAAATTTTAAGGATGTATAGATTTTGTCATTGAACTTTAAAATAGTTAGTTTTTCAGCACTGCACTTTTCAATCGCCACTGGTAATCAATCGCCTCCCGTGCTGATCATATTTTGCGATAAAATCAATATCAAAACATTCGAATTTCATTCATCATTCTTCTCATATGATTAGTTTTTCACGTAACCACTCAAAATTGAAGAAATTCGAACAAAGGGAAGCGTTATTTCGAAAAGACAAACAACATAACTTAAAACTAGCCTAATCGAATGATCATTGAAAGAGGTCAGTATTAATAAGTCGAACATTTAAATGGTCGGTTTTGAGTGAGTTTCGTGGAAAACCAATCTTAGGAGAAACAAAGTGGAGTGAAATGCGAATGTTTTGATACCTATATTACCACGAAATATGACTGGTGATGGACGATGCTTGGCTTCTGTTGACTATCAGTAAGTATAAGCCAAGAAAACAAATTGTTTAAAAGTCGAGTGACAAAATCATTATACTCTTAAAGTTTAGTATTTAAAACGACACATTATGAAATTAAAAGTTTAATTGTATAAACAATTCAATGGACAAAGTTTAGTGACACCTCGAACAGTTTATCCAAATATAAGTTTTCAAAGACTAATTTGATCATAAATTTGTAAGTAAGAATTCAGTTGAAAAAAAATATTAAAAAACTTAATTCGTTATTACCTAATTGGACACAATGAACTTATTAAACTAATATTAAACAACACTTTGAATACACAATTGTATAGTTTACAAGTTTTCGACTTTAGCCATTTGATAATCTTTGGAAGAATTGTAGTGCAAATAACTTGTAGTTGGATAACTCTGTTGGATTGAAATCCATATTTGTAGACACATATGTATAATGTAAAATGTTATTATAAAGGATGACATAAAATTAAGTGACCAATTATTTTACATGTGTTATATGTATTATAAGTGACCAATTATATTACATGTGTTATATGTATTATAAGTGACCAATTATTTTACATGTGTTATATGTATTATAAGTGACCAATTATATTACATGTGTTATATGTATTAAAGTGTTATGGAATTAAAATGTAGATACCATAAGTTGTATTTATAATTTGATGAGGGACAAAGTTATAAGTACTTAAAACATTAACCTAATATTCAATCTATATAAAAGGTAGTAGTCCCAATAAATAGATTAACTTGTATTACTTTTATCTGTTAGACAGTTTTTACGGCAAGAACAAACCTATATTTTTAGAAGATCACAACCAAAGAAAGACTCAAGGATTTCAACCTATCGATTAATTCAGGTACGCTTCCGCATCTAATAATTTATTCTTAATGATTTGACATGATTAAATCTTGGTTAGTTTTTTATATTTATTTATGGTTTGGTTCTAACAAGTGGTATCATCGCCTGTCATGAATCAATTTATTTTATGATTTATAATTTTGAGATAAAAGAAAAAAGAAAAGAAAATCCGATTGCATCTGTGCGCTAATATATATATATATAATACTTATTACATTGCTTGGATTCAGTTGACATTGTGCAATTGATTTTCTCTGATAATCGTGGAATATGTGGTTCTGTTTATCGCATGGTTATTATTTTTTTATGTAGTAAAAGCTAAGCAATTGTTAAGGTTTATGTAATTGCTTGTTTTCTTTTCTTGAATAATCACATATATTGATTTAGTATTTGGATTAAAGGTTAATATTAAAATTTTATAATTTTTAATATTTCATAGTCTCATCATTGGATTTATAGTTTGTTGGATTATCGATAACGACCTTTTTAGTTAATGTTATCCTTTATATAAAAAAAATTAGTGTTTTTTGTTGTGATTTTCATCTTCCTATAAAGCAATTGAATTTTTTTTCGTAAGAAAAAATGGCGTCGTAATCAATTTGTATGACAATTTTTATACGTTATTATTCCTTAATTTATTGTTGCATTTGTTTTAAGTATTTTATTAATGCAATGATTATTTATTATACAATTTTTGGTGTGCCAATAGACTTTGCATTGGGGAAAAAATATTATTATCGTATTATTATAGATTTGATATTAAGGAGTTTTCTTATGTGAATTTAATTCAGTTTCAGTTAATAAAGTTTTCGAGTTTGATACTTAGAAATATTATGGTACATATGTTTTTTAAAGTTATGTTTTTGGATTTGATTTATTGTATTATATTTTTGTTTAATTTGGTGAATTCATGTTTAAGAAATTTTTGAAAAATATTAAAATATTTAGGTTTTTTATTTCTAATAACGTCATTTAGACAATTTTATTAGAGTTACTTCGGAAATCATGACGCGAATGGAAAATTCAATTTTGTTTTTGACTGTTATGAATTATAGAATATATATTTGGCATTAATATATTCGATTTAGTTTGATTATTTTTTTAACCTTTGCATAGTTTTAATTCACTATAATGTACTTTGACCTTAACTTTTGGTTGAATGTTGTTTTTAATTCGGTTTATGTTTTAGGTAATTTATGACGTTATGAATTAATTGTATGTTTAAGGAATTCTTTAGAAATGATCAAAGACTTGAGTTTTCGATTTCTAATAGCACCATTAATGCAACCTTATTTTTTTCATGCAATCAAAAATTTAAGTTTTAACCTTTGATTGTTATAGAAATATTAAATTTGAATACTTATATTTATTTTGAGATGACTTAATTAAAATAATAAGTCGTTAAAGAGACCCCAGTTATGGAAAATATTTGATTTTCAAATATAAAAGTTATGTACATATAACTTAAGATATGTTTGTATTGATTGGCCTAAAGGAATATTAATTGTTGACTGAATCACATGTACAATTTTGGTAATAATCAAGTGATAATTATTCAGTTTGATGTGTGAGTAATAAATCGACCGAAAGGACGATTTTGCTTGACATATTCTTATTATCAATGTTTGATTACCGCATCAGATATTAATTAAGGTGAAAATTTTATCTAAAGATGAAATATTAATGAAGTAGTTGATATCTAGGGATAAGGTTTAAGTTATTCAAATTTATTATTATTTTGATTATCTTTTAATTGAAAGATAAAATTAAGAGAAATTGATTGATTGATAATATTATATGGTTTTAGGGTTATTTCTTTAATGCAATATATGTATATATTCAATTTGGTTTTTCAGTTTTGATTGTTGGTTAATAGAATATATATTTTGAAACAAATTAATTCATATTTTGGCTAAAACTTATATTTTAGTAGATTTGTTGAAACAAAATGTCGCCAAAGTGACATCTTTTGTGTAGACTGATTTATTTGAAATATCAAGATGATTATGTGTTTCTTGTAATTCATGCATTTATTAATTGGCTCAAAGGAAAGTTAATATTTTGGCATATTCAAGCGACACATGTGGTGATAACATGTGACAATTATAAGGTATTTATTTTATGTGAGCATAACATTAGTCCAAAGAATAGTCTTTTGTTCGACATAGCTTATTGTCAATGTTTGATTACTACAACAAGAGTACCATTTACTGTTAATACTACTATCCAAAGACTTGATATTGATGTAGTGTTTGGCATCTTGTAATGAGAATTAGCTATAATTTTGAATTTATTTGTTTACTTAAGATGTGAGCTTCAGTTTTATTTATATTTTGTTCTATATTCAAATTATTTATTTATTTATTGCTACCACAATATCTACTCTATGGAAAATGCACTTAGGAAAGTGAATATGAAGAAATGAAAAAAATCCACTTACATAAGGTTTTTGTTGTATGAACATAGACTTTACACTAAGGAAAAAACAATTTCCACCTCTCATGGGGATAACATTCTTAATTGGTATGAGAGAATTTGAGAGGTAAAATTTGTTTAAATTGTATAAATTTAGTGGTCATGAAACACAACATTTTAGAAGCCTTTAGGGACAAATAATCTGAAAAGATTACTAGGCGGTTTCCTTAACGAAATTGAGAAATAGTTTTCCAAAAAAATAAGGTTTAAATGACATCACTTTTAACTTCTTTGATTTCTATAAAGTATAAGGGTTAAGGAAATGTGAGGTAGTATATTATGGATATATTTCATAATTCAAAACTGAAGACATTTAAGATCAAGTTTTTCGGAAGAATTACTTGTTATTAAGAATTTAGTATTGTTTCCTATAGAGTTTAATCAACTCAAAGAGAGAAATGAACTCTAAATGAGCTCATTTTCCATTGCGTGCAATAGGAAGAAAGATTGAAGTATAATAATTCTTAAAGTACTCACTTGGAAAATGCATATAAATATAAGGGGGAAAACAAAATCAGAATGTAGTTGTTCTCTTTTGAGATAAGTTAGGAATATGGGAAGAAATTTAATTCTACAATAGTAAGCAACTAATTTGGTTATTATGAGCAATTTAGGGGGTTATTTTATGATCTCGTAATTAGGAATTATTTAAAGGTGAGATCTATAACATTATTTTTTAGGATGTTGAGTTTATAGGGAGAAATAAGGTTTAAGGAATTACTTTTGAGGGGGAATTGAATTATACTCAATTTCTATTATCACTTTTGATGATATCCATGTGTTCATACATGTCGTTAATCAAGAAGTGAATCTAGAACCTCAACAAGATAATATTGAACAACTCTCCTTTTAAGATGAAAACTTGTTATAGAAGAACAAACTAAAAACATCAAAGAACAAATATCATTAAGAAATCCACAAGATGAGAGAAATATTATTTGAATTATTATGTTTGAGCAAGAAATAATGATAATAGTAGAATGATGAAAGATGATCAAATCAACTTTCATCATGTCATAGAAGTTATTACTCTCAAAAGTGGATTAATGCTATATAAGAAGAGTATAAGTTCTATACGAGATAATAAAGTTTGAGGACTCATCCCATTACCTGAAGGTGCAAACTTGATTTGTTATAAATGAAAATCTATAATCAAAGATGGTTGCAAATTGTGATGTTGCCAAGTATAAAACATGTCTTGTATACAAAGGATATACTCAGAAATCAGGCATTAATTTGTAGAGACTTTCTCTTTGGTTTCATGAAAGACTCTTTCAAGATAATTATGATACTTTTGCTTATATTTGATTTTGAGTTACATAAATTGGATTTCAAAATTGGTTTATCAATGATAACATTTATGAAATATTTTATACAGTGCAATTAGAAAATTATATCTAATGATACAAAATTAATGATATACAAATTAGGGAAATCCATTTATGAGTTTAAGAATGACTTTCTTTAATCGTATAACGAATTTTATCATGTGATTATCTCATTTGGTTTTGAGATAATTTGATTGACAATTGTATATACTATAAGTTTAGTAGGAGTAAACCAAATGATACCCTTATTGTAAAAGGAAACAAGTTTAAAGGTTCCTTATGCCACAAAAGTAAATGAGGAGTTTAATGTATATTTAGGTTTATACACATTCAAATATATCATATGATTTTAGGATATTATATAAGCAAATATTTAAGGATTTTGGGTATGGATCGTTGGATAACAACCAAATTGATTCTATTAGCATATTGAGATTGAGTGTGAGTGAAGTCAGTGTAGCAATGATATCAGTTAGTTTAGCAGCTGAGCTGTATGCATTGTGTGAGGTTGTTGAGCGTATGTGAGTGTGAACGTTAATAGTTTGTTATGAGGTTGTTACAAATCTGTTATGGTTGGCTGTAAACAATCTGTATAAATAGGCGTTAAGTCCTCATTGCTAAGTGTGAAGAATAATGAATTTGTTTACTGAAATTTACTTTCAAGTGTATTCCATCATGGTATCATTCGCTTTATGTTCCTGAGGTGTTTCTGCTTCGTTGCTCCTTCTGCTGGTAAACATGGATGCTGTGTTTGCTAAAACGTTCACTCACAAGAAGGTGAATGTTATTCTTGATGAGTCAAATTTTTTACTCTGGTAGCAGCAAGTTCTGCTAACGGTTCGTAGCCATCGCCTCGAGCAGTTATTAACTGGTTTGCTGTAGCCTCCGCCTGAATTTATAGTAGGTACGAATGGTGAATCTATGCCAAACGAGTTGTATGACGATTTTGTAGCACAAGATAGTGCACTGGCGTCGTGGCTATTATCAACCATTAGCTCTCATCTACTTTCTCAATTCGTTGGTGCGGACACAGAAGTGGCTGTTTGGAATAAAGTAACAGTTCTTCGCGAGTCGTTCTACAACAGTAGTCATTAGTCTGCATTACAAGCTTCAATCTCTTAAAAAAGGAGATGACAGCATGAACCTATCTCACTCGATTAAGGAGGTCTGTGATGCATTGGCATCATGTGATAGTGCGATCTCCCCTGCCGAGCAAGTAGCCAGCATCTTAAAAGGCCTCTTCAGAGATTATCAACCTTACGTTGCTTTCATTACAACAATGAAAGACTCTCTCTCACTTGATAAGGTGTGTTCTTTACTGATTGATGCTAAGACTCAAATGGCTGGATTTGATGCTCGAGATGATCAGTTTCCAATGAGTGCTCATATTGCCAATCTGAGCGCTGGTCCCAAATCGAGCAACGCAAATTCCTACAATCGATCTGCCTACCGTAATGAGTCTGGTTATTCTAATCGTGGATGCGGTCGTGGAAGACCATGGGTTCAGTGCTAGCTGTGTGGCAAAAATGGTCACCTAGTGGCTGACTGCTGGCATCGGTTTGATCAGAATTTCTCTGGTAAAGGTTCTGCTCGTCCTTCATCACGAGATAATTCTGGTAGTGCTCATTACTCTAGTCTTGAAGATGTAGAGAATGTAGCATGTTCCTGCTGTACTAAAGGACTTGCTGAGGCTCATAGCGCTTTCACCTCTAGTGGTTCATGGGTGGTTGATTCCGGTGCTTCACACCATGTCACACCTGATGCCTTAACCATTGGTCATAAGGGTGATTTTACAGGTCCAGGTAAATTATTTGTTGGCAATGGTGTGCCCTTATCTATTCATACTTCTGGTAAATTATTTGAATGACTTGTTGCATGTGCCTACGATAACGAAAAATCTGCTCTCGGTGTCAAAGCTTGCTAAAGACAACGATGTTTACTTTGAATTTTGAGCTTCAAGTTGTTGTGTTCGAGACGAGAGGTCTGGAGAAATTTTGTTGCGTGGTGAAGAACGAGGTGGTTTGTATTTCTTTCGGTCAAATGTGGATACTACGAGTAGTGGTCAGGCACAAACTTATGTTGCATTGTCTCCAAATAAGCTGTATGAACTTTGGCATATGCACCTAGGGCATCATGCATATGGGACCCTAGAGCAAGTTTGCAAATTCTTAAATGTACTCGTTGAAAATAATGTGAATGAATACTGTGTTACTTGCCATATGGGCAAAAGTCACAAACTCCCATTTCATACATCAGATTCATTTATACTATCCCGTTTCAATTGGTTTATACTGATTTGTGGGGACCTTCACCAATTGCTTCTAACGGGTTTAGGTATTATGTGAGCTTTGTCGATGCGTGTACACGAAACACTTGGCTATATCTATTGCGTGATAAATCTCAAGCAGTACATGCTTTTCAATTGTTTCAGTAGCTTGTAATCACACAGTTTAACTCAAAGATATTAGCTGTGCAGAGTGATTGGGAGGTGAGTTTCGAAGCCTCTCTCGTGTTCTTCAAACAGTTAGGGTTGTGCACCATGTAACTTTTTACACACCTCCGATCAGAATGGAGTCGTTGAACGAAAACACAAGAACATAATTGAGCTTCCATTAGTTTTGCTTGCTCATGCTTCTATGCCTATCACGTTTTGGACTTATGCTATAACAATGGTTGTACATCTCATCAACAGGTTGCCTACAAAGGTGTTCAATGGGCTCTCTCCATATGAGTCACTGTTCCATAAGAAGCCTAACTATAGTTTGTTGAAGGTTTTTGGCTGTCGGTGTTTTCACACCTTAACCATTTAATCACCATAAACTGGATTCGTTCACAATCATGTACCTTTCTTGGCATTAGTTCCAACACAAAGGTTTATTGTGTCTCAGAAAGAATGGGCGAGTGTATGTGTCTAGGCATGTAAAATTTGACGAATGGTACTTTCCATTTGCAACTAAGTCTGGTCACATTTCGTGCAGCTCCTCTGCACAAATCAATCAATCTCTTGATGTTGTAGTAGATGTGAATCGGTTACTTGCTGACGATGCAGGGGTATCAGGAAATCAGTCTACTCTTGTGTATGAGCTTAAGAGCTCAATTGCTGGTTCTGCTACTTCCTCGAATAATCTTGAGGAATCATCTAAGGCTTTGTGTCAAAATGAAATGCATGTTGAAGAAGTGGTACGCGATGAGACTGTTGCACCTCATATTAATCATCATCCCATGCTGGCTCGTAGCAAATGTGGTATCTATAAGCCCAAGGTATACACCACTTTCTTGATGACAATGTTCCATCTAATATTCGTGATGCATTAATGTCACCTAAGTGGGCAACTGCTGTTCATGCGGAGTACTCGGCTTTAATTCAAAACCGAACTTGGAGTTTAGTTGAGCTACCTCGTGATAAAAGTGTTGTTAGCTGCAAATGGCTATTCAAACTAAAAGGGAACCCAGATGGTTCTATTCATCGATATAAGTCTCGTCTAGTTGCCAAGGGTTTTTTCGCAAGTTCCTGGCCATGATTTTGTGGCCACGTTCAGTCCAGTTGTTAAGTTTGCAACTGTCTATGTTGTACTAGCAGTAGCAGTGGTTAAAGGATGGTCTCTACGACAAATAGATGTCAATAATGCGTTTTTGAATGGAGATCTAGCTGAAGATGTTTATATACAACATCCCCCTGGTTTTGAACAGCTTGGCTCCAATGAAGTTCATTTGGTTTGCAAGTTGCAGAAAGCTTTATATGGACTTCGCCAAGCTCCTCGAAACTGGAACGATAAACTCAAGAACAGTCTACTTGAATTGGGCTTTGTGGTGTCAAGGGCTGATACATCTCTATTTGTGCGAGTTGTGAATGATTCGTGCACATATATTTTAGTATGCGTTGATGATATAATCATCACTGGTAGTTCGAATGCTGATATTGATAATATTATTAATATGCTGCACAAGAAGTTCTCTCTAAAGGATTTTGGAGCACTTTCGTTCTTTCTTGGTATTAAGGTTAAGAGGAATGATGCTGGTTTAGTCCTCAGTCAAAAGAAATACATACTCGAATGTTTCAAAAAATAGATATGCTTCAAGCATCTTCAACCTGCACACCTATGGTAGCTGCTATGAAAAATTCTGGGAAATGAAGTGTTCTATTAAACAATGCACGTAATTATCGAAGCATTGTTGGTGCTTTGTTATATATGTGCCATACTAGGCCTGATATAGTATTTGCTGTCAACAAGGTGGCACAGTTCATGCAAGCACCTTGTGAAGAACATCTAGTTGCTGTTAAGCGCATCCTACGCTATCTAGCTGGTACATTGGATTATGGCTTAGTTTTCTTGTCTGAGCATACTAAGTTGTCTGTGAGAGCATTTTCTGATGCTGATTGGGCAGGTGATACTGGAGATAGGCGCTCAATGACTGGCTATAGAGTGTTTGTCGGCAACAACTTGGTTACATGGGCATCTAGGAAGCAAAAATCGGTGTCACGCTCAACGATGGAGGCTGAATATCAAGTATTACAGAAGCTACCGCTGAAGTAACTTGGGTTAATGCTTTATTGAGTGATCTAGGGTTGCAGCCTCTAGACAGACCTATTGTTTGGTGTGATAACACAAGTGCAGTGGCAATGACTGCCAATCCAGTGTATTATGCAAAATCAAAACATGTTGACCTTGACATTCATTTTGTTCGAGAGAAGGTTGCTGTGGCAAACTGAAGGTGAGTTATGTACCTGCTGATTTTCAACTTGTTGATGGATTTACCAAGCCTTTGGCTAAGGCGTCGTTTTAAGTTTTTCGAGACAATGTTCATGTCCAACAATGTTGAGTTTAGAAAAGGAGAGAAGAAAGACGGGAGAATATTAGCATATTGAGATTGAGTGTGAGTGAAGTCAGTGTAGCAGTGATATCAGTTAGTTTAGCAGCTGAGTTGTATGCATGGTGTGAGGTTGTTGAGCGTATGTGAGTGTGAACGTTAATAGTTTATTATGAGGTTGTTACAAATCTGTTATGGTTGGTTGTAAACAATCTGTATAAATAGGCGTTAAATCCTCATTGCTAAGTGTGAAGGATAATGAATTTGTTTACTGAAATTTACTTTCAAGTGTATTCCATCAGATTCATACAATACATTTAAGAACAAAATGTTACATGCTCACATATCGGAGGTCTAGTAAGTAAGAGATCATCAGGTTTATGGACTCTGACTTATTGTAATATGAATGCAAAATTTTATCACATGAACTACTAATTATAGATTGATAAGAAAGACCACTTGAGTTATTGTGACAACTAAGTTACAATTCTTTTTTCCATATATAACATAATCATCTTAAGTCTAAGCACATACACATTATGTTTCTGGTTCTTAAAGAAAATTCAGATTGATTATGTGTTTATAGAGCATGTTGAGCACACTACTCAAGTAGGTGTAATATCATATAAGGATATTCAATCTTAGTGAGAGTTTGTAATTTTAATTCTCGTATATTATAAACACAACTTCAATTACTTCAGTTTAAGGATATTTATTTTAAAGTTATTTTTTGCAGAAATAAAGAATGTTTAGGTTCATTCACACTCTATTTTTGGTAAAATTTGATCTCACTAACGTTTAAAGAGGATCAGTTGAAAATAGACGTACAATTCACATTGCATGTGATTTCTATGCTACGCTCCATGATTGATCAATGTCATTTAATTGTGTTTGTATACGTGACCATTGATGGGTCAGTCATGATAGATACCAAAAAGACCGCTTTGATCCTATATAGATATAGTTTATTGACGAGATTGTTATAGAATACTTAATATATGATTGCAAATTTTGAGCTCTTAAGGTTTTACATTGTCAGGAAACATATGTTGTCCTAGTGGGAGATTGTTGGATTAAAATCCATATTTCTGGGCACATATGTATAATGTACAATGTTATCATAAAGTATGACACAAAATTAAGTGACCAATTATGTTACATGTGTTATATGTATTAAAGTGTCATGGAATCAAAGTGTAGATACCATAAGTTGTATTTATAATTTGATGAAGGGCAGAATTATATATACTTAAAATATTGACCTAATATTCAATTTGTACAAAGAGGTAGTGGTCCCCAAGAAATAGATTAACTTGTATTACTATTATCCCGTTAGAGAGTTTTTACGGCAAGAGCAAACATATCTTCTTGGAAGATCACAACCAAAGAAAGATTCAATGATTTCAACCTATCGATTAATTCAGGTACACTTCCACATCTAGTATTTTATTCTCCATGATTTGACATGATTAGATCTATGTTAATTTTTATATTTATTTATGGTTTGGTTCTAACAAACTCACGTTGATAACTCAGTTGAGCCTAGGATTTAGATCATGGACTATCACCATCTATAACTCGCTCAAGTAGTTCAATGGTTCCCCGGCCTAGTTCAATGGTCAACTATGGTCATTAGCGGAAAATGACTTCGAAACTAATCTTAAGAGTAATTTTTTATTTTTATTTTTTTGAAATAGAATAAATAATTACAAAATAATATATGTTTACAATCTTTTTTTTTAGTTATTCACAACGTACACATCTTATTGAAGACTTCTAGACTTTAGTGGGAACAACACTTCCCTAAACCACCAAAATCGCTAGACAAGATTATTATAAAATAATATACGTTCATATCTTAATTTTTTAAGATTAAACTAGATATCTCAATCACACTCATCTTCAAAATATCAAATGATCCATATATCACCTAAGTTAACGTATTAGCATAACTCAAATTAACTAAATTTTATCATATTTCAATTATTTAATTATTAACCTATAAATCCCCAACCATTTAGATTAATTATTCCATAATAAATCGGTATTCGCGTTAATAAGATATATTATTTAGGGTATACTAGATTGACAACATCTAAATTTTAGGCTGATTTTCATTTTTGATAATTAATTTTTTAAAACTTGCATTACAATTATTAAATTTTAGTTCATTTTTATTATGTTTGTTATTGCTGACTACTATTAATAAACACTAATGTCACTCGTTAAAATATTTTATTAAAAATTAATTAGGTGTCGGGTCGAGTCAGGACGAAACCTTGAAACTGGAGGTCAACAAAAAATATTTTTATTAAAAAGTTAATTTTACAAATTAATGTTTATCATAAAGATCAAGTTTTTTAATAAAGCGGTTCTGGATAATTTCAACGATAAAAGGTCTCGTTTGATTAAAAGATTAATATGATTCGATTTTAAGTTGATCAAACGGTTGACATTAACAAATAGAAAAATTTAGCTTTTAGTTTTAATTGTGTTTTGAGAATGATTTTTTTTGACGAGATTGGATGAAGAATGAAGAAAAGGAGTAGTTCAGTCAGTTTTTTGACTGACTATATCATGCGTTTTAAAAGTTTATTAAGCGAAAGGGATTAAGAAATCCCCCTATGATGAAGTTTCTTTTTTATATATATATCTTGGGATGCATTGAATTGGGTCAAGTGGAGAAATAAGAAACGGTGACCTTGTAGTGAAAAAAGATTAAAGGGGCAGGAGAAATCTGAGCTCCATCGCTGTTGCTCTACCTTCACTGGTCAATTCGTAATCGCCGCAATTTGAAGCCATCAATCATCTTTATAAGGAAATCAAATATTTGGTCCACTAATTCAACTTACAGAAACAGGTCTGGGTTTCGACATATCAGCTTTAAGCAATTTAAGTACAAGTGTTCCCAAAGATGGCATGCATCGAGAGTGCTGCCGTCTCTTTATGGAACCATTGGTTGGTTATTTAGGGACCATTTTCTTCTTTTCCTTTTTGACTCCCCCAAATCATGCATCATATTTTGATGCTTTGAGGGGTTACTTCTCATTTCAGCTTTAAGCATCCTCCATTGGAATGAATCATCAATGTTTCTCAATCACCAAGCGAAAGTGGATGGGTGGAGAGGTGCCTACTTTATTATTCATCGCTTCTACATTTCACACTTCTCCCTTTAACTTTGGAGCTATGGGTTTAATTTTTTAATAATAGTAAGTGATTAAGATAATATATATTTAGAGTTTTCTTAATTATAGATAACGCTCGTATATGCTATATATAAATCTGCTTGAATTTAGAATCTCTAAAAATAACAATACTCACCTTTAGTAATGAGATTATTTTAAAATCTGTCATTCAATGGAACAAAATTAGATTTGCATCCATGTTTCTTTTCATTGACCCGTTGTAGTATGTGTTTGTTGAGCTTTTATTTTGTTGTTTCTGAGACACTTTCATCTTCTTTTGATCCTATTAAATAATATTTCAGCTGGCATTTATTTTAAAACCACAGTTGTAATTGGAAAAATATTTTTATCTGACATATTGAAACTCGTCGGATTTCAGAAAAGAAAAAGAAACAGAAAATCTTTCTCCTATACATGATCGTGCATCAAGTACAGAGCTTGGAACATAGATGTTGAAGTTGGGAAGAGTTTTCCTCTGTTAGTGTATAGATTTCGCTTTTCCCATTGCCTATGCATGTCAAGTTCATCGTCTTCCCGAATACAGTTGACTGCAATAAGAACTAACATTAACCCATTTTCATTTTAATGAACACAAATCGGAGAAACTAAACTATTACTAATGCAACTGACCCGACAATACACGTGTCGTGGTCTGCAACTCCATAATGGTGTCGGGATGCAGCTCATATAATGACACCAAGAACAGCGATCATTCAAGTTACCCCCTTCAAGGAACAGAATATATAAGCCAAGAGCAAATCTGGAGAAAAAAATAAACATACATTCATGCATGGGAATAGCTTATTTTGATGGTGAAGATGAGTGAAATTTAGAATTCCTTACACAACAATCAGAAGGATCAAAGAGACGACCCACAGGACACACTGATACGTCTGGTGTTTAGGTTTACGAGAAGGTATAATGTATCCAGGAGGAACTTTTTTCTCACTAACGTATCCAAACTGGGGACGGATTAGGAACACGAAACCGAGGAGAAACCCGGATATAAATCCCCCGATATGAGCAAAGTTATCCACGTGTGGGAGCACTCCCACTGCTAGATTTATTACAATAACCAGAACAAGAGTTAACAGCGCTGCAAACTGCACAAAACTCAAACTGTAAGAACAATCTGTGGTAGGAAATGTAGACAGGCTAGGAAGAATGCGATCTTACGTGCCTTATTTGCATATATTGTCCAGTTTGTGATTAGTTCTGAGAGCATGCTTCCTAGTAAACCAAAAAGTGCACCGGAGGCACCCACCGATATACGGCTCTGAATAAAAAGAGAGGACATCAAACTCCCACCGAAACCGGCGATTAGATAAAGCAACCCTATTCTCACTGCAGTAATACCAAAGAAGCATTAGAATTGATCAGATCTCAAGTTGTTGTTGTAATATTGATATCATAATCAATGCGTACCGAAACCGAATTCCTGCTCAAGCCGAATCCCGATGAATAAAAGACTCAACATGTTTGCGAGTATGTGGAAAACACCAGCATGCAACCATATACAAGATATCATGCGCCATGCTTCGTGTTCTTTGACTACTTTATTCACTTCTAGGGCACCCATTTTCTCTAGTCTGAAGAGACGAAGAAATCATCAGGCCATGTCATCCATGAAGAAAGATATATATTAATTGGATGCATTGGGAGAGAGACTTACGTACGAGCAGAAGGTCCAAGGAGGGGATTCTCTTTGAAAGGCTGAAAAGAGAATCTACCCAGGAATTTACCCACGCAGTTATTCGAGGTGTTGGGACAATTGTTAATGTACATGGTTATTATAAAAAGGAATATGTTAACCAAAACAAAGCCTGGAATCAACCAAGGCACCCACTTTTTGAACGGCATGAAATCAACAGTCCATCCTAGTTGCTGTTGTCCTTCCCTGTGTCTATGCCCATTCCCATGCCCCCTACGCTGCCCATCAGACAACGGCAATGACGACGACGACGGTAACGTTTGTGATGCGGTGTGACCTGATCGTAGCTGATGTTCCGTCGTGTCTCTTTTCTTTGGATTGGTCACCTTGATTTCAATCTTGGAATCCATCCCCCACCTTCAAAATAACCTTTTTCTTTTCCTCCTTCAAAGACAAAAAACACACAGGGGGATTCCCATTGTTGGAATGAGTTAATGGTGTCTCATAATCTTGGAATGTAAATGGATTTCCATACACAAAAAAGGCTTCGTTTTCTGAATTCTGATATTACACGGATTCTCTCGTGTTTCAGAGTTCAGACAAACCTTCCTTCTACTTGTTTTTCCTTTCTTTTCTACGTGGATGATTTCCTAATTTTAACGTTGCTTGTTAGGGATGATAGGCTTATAGTTTTAACTTCCCATTTGATTTCTTTTGCTTGGATGCCATTCTCACTTAATGTATAAAAGACATTATTATATAACAATTTTTTGTTTCAACAATAATTAAGAGATCAAATTCAAACCAAAAAACTTGCACACCGAAGTGGAATAGATGGTATAATATAGTAAAAGCTATTTTTAGGAAAAGGGGAGGAATATATGCAAGTTTTGTATGGAGAAAGAAACATGTGTATACAATTGTAATGTAATATGCAAATCTTATGTTAGTAATAATAGTAAATAAGTATATTGCAAATTTCGATTTGCTATTTGTGGATCTTAATACTTTTCAGATTTTTAATCATCACTATAGCAAAAAAAAAGATATTTTGCGGTATTTTTAGGCCTACAACGACGTTTTTAAACATCGTTAAAAACTATAGTGTAGGTAAAAGCGCTGCAAGAAGCGCTGTTAAAACAAGCACCACAACATGTCGAAACATTTGTGAGCACAAAACACCACTAAAAGTCATGATATATAGTGGCGTTTTAACCCAAACGCCGCTATTGGGTATGTATGTAATGGCATGTTTTGTAACAAACGCCACAAATGTGTAGTCCATTTATGTCGTTTTATTCGTAAAAAGGACGCAAAACATCATGACTTATAGTAGCGTTTTTATTCACAAAACGCCACTAAGGTTAATTGATTTGACGAATATTATTTTTGGATCTATACTACTAAAATTTAACATCTTGTACCATTATCTAATCACAACAAACTTAAAATTTAATTATGACTACGTTGAAATACATAACAACAAAAATATACTAAAAAAATATCCAATAACAATAAACAATAAAGTGAAATGTAATGTTATTCAATATTATTCATTAGAATAAACAAAATATGAACCTAAGAAATTACCTAAGATAGTGGAGTTTGCGTTAGGTTCTACTATATCATCATCTTCATATCTTGAAGTTGATTTTGGAAGTCTCTATATTTTTCTTGATATGCTACTGCTCTCGCTTCTGCTTTGACTTTCTTGTCCTCAAACGTAAGAGCTGCAAGATCATTCCAATACTTCACGAGCACATATATTGTGCAGCTCATAAGGTGTCTAATATTTTTAACTTTATATTTTTAGGTATTTAGACTATAATAACCGTTAAAAAGTATGGTTACATTATTATATTTATAAAAAATTTACTTTTGAAAAAACTAAGAAAAAGAACAATTTTTAGAAGAAAAAGAATTCCCTCCCCTCGTCACACAGCACATAACCCCCACCCCTTCTTCCTCACTGAATGCTCTCAAAAATCGGAAAGCAATTGCACCAGAAAATTACGATGCAATTTCACTAGGAATTGCGACACCTTTGCAGCAAATGCATTAGGGTTTATGATTAGGGATTAGGTATTTAAAATATTACAGATATAGAGAATTAGGTGAAGGTAAGAACCACGATCGATCACTAGGTGGACTATAACGTACGAGTGATAGTTCAACGATGACAACGGTGATTAGTGATGACTGATGATGGCTGGAAATATGACTGGAATTAGAAATTTTGGGATTATTTTGATAATTTTAAGGTAAAAAGACATTAGAGCCTCGTGTACTTTTTAAAAGAATCAATGTGACCCTCCAACTCAAAAAACAAGCTAAATTGACCCTCTGAACAATGTTTTTCATCGTTAACTGTTACAGTGCTAACGTGCAGTCCACGGTGCTGAAGTGGCAGTCCACAGTAGCTGATGATGCGGCAGATGACATGGTAGATACGCTAAATTGATTTTTTTTGTTCGAGGGTCAAATTGATTTTTTTAAAAGTTCAATAGCTTATTTAATTTTTTAAAAATAAAAGTTATTTTAAATATAAAATTATTCAAATATTCAAAAATAAACTAAATATAAATAAACTAAAATTAAAAAAAATTTAAAAATTAAATATTCATATTAAAAATACTAAAACTAAATTGCCAGTCGACTTGTTGTGGAGGGTTTGGGTTGGAGATTAGAACTACAAAATGCTACATTTTTAATGAAAATTGTGTTCAATATTTTAGCCAGGAATGATCATCTGTGGGTGAGATTTTTCAGAGCTAAGTATAAATGCATGGAGTGGGTGTCGGAGGTGCTTCGCAAATCGAATTGTTCAAAGCTATGGAGTGGGTGTCGAAACGTTGTTTTTTGGTTTGATAGTTGGCTCATCGATTGTGGTCCTCAAATTAATCACGTTGCGGCTGCTGGAGCGGTGGGCATGCAACAGGTCTTGGTTGCTGACATAGTAGATAATATGGGAGAGTGGAAGTGGCACCAGTTCGAACAATATCTTCCCTTGAACGTTCTTATCCGCATTGCTGCGATTAAGGAACCTCAGCTTCGTTTTGGTCCGGCAACTGTAGGTTAGAGCCCTCGTGATGATCGTCTCTTCTCGATGAAAACAACCTACAAGGTTCGGGAAGGGAGTAATGGTTGCATTCAAAGTGACGTTGGAGCGTTCTTGCTAAGTTTAGAGATCTTTAGAAGATGAATAGTTCTTATGGCTAGTGTACTGTGCTAGGGTTTTAACCAATATGAAGAGTAAGCAACGTCACCTAATTATGGATAGTCAGTGTCCTGCTTATGTTGACCCTGTGGAGGATACTAACCATCTGTTGTGTCAGTATCTGACGGCGTTGTTTGTTTGGCTTCGATCGTGAAGCTGGAGCGGTTGCAAGATTTCTTGACGGTGGATTTGAAGGATTGGATTAGAATAAATATTAGCGACTATCTTGCGTTCTTCGGGAATGTTGAGAGCTAGGATATTCTCTTTGGCGCGATTGTTTGAAACCTATGGATTCAGCGTAATGCAGTGGCCTTTGACAATCCATTGGAGGATGAACGATTTGCTGTAACATTTTAATCCAATCCCACCTGAAATTAAAGATTAGAATATCACACGAAACCACTAAGTAACTAATCATTTTTCATGAAAACATTTAACATCGGGATATAATATAAATACCAAAATATAATAAGGTTGTCATAACCATTTTTTATTAATAAATTAATTTTAAAATAATTATTACTTTGTTTTGAAAAATATGAATTTTTATTTAATTTGAAATTTAGAGTCACCATTGATCTTAGGTTAGGTAGTGAATACCTAAAAGCTTCTTTTAAAACAATTTTAATAAAAATTATTTTTTAAGACAAA